CTCGTTTCAACTCATTGAACCTAACCTGTTGTGTCCTGTTGCTTAAGTACGATCTGAACCATTCCCATACTTTACCCCTTATTCCATATTGCATTAGTTTTTCCAGTAACAGTCCTCTGTCCACAGTCTCAAACGCTCGTTTCAAATCCATGAAGATTACTCCCACTATTTTCCCCTCGCTGATTTTTAATTTCCATTCGTCAACCACGATTTGAATTGCTGTTTCACACGAATATTGCTTTGTAAAACCCGATTGGTGCTCTGTTATGACCTCATTTGATTCCAGAAATTTTTCAATTTGGCTTTTTACTACTAACTCTAGAATCTTCCCATACATAGGTAACATATTACCTGGCCGGAAATCTTTTGCTCTTATGGCTCTATCTATCTTTGGGATTGGTATGATCGTGGACGTTTTCCAACTATCAGGACAACAGCCCTCACTTAGGGATCCGTTGATTATATCAACAAATTTCTGTTTTATTGCACTGAATGCCATTTTTAGTATTTCACTTCATATTTCTTCTGCTGTACCTTTTTTTTTTTTTTAGATTATAGAGAGAGAGAGAGAGAGAGAGAGAGAGAGAGAGAGAGAGAGAGAGAGAGAGAGAGAGAGAGACCTTCCTTCATTTCGTTATAATTTTATCCTCAATTTATGCCAAAAAGTAATGAATTCCACAACGCATAATTATCAATCAACAAGAAAGTTTAAGCCGAGACGTGAAAACGTTATCTACTTTGAAAGCATAGCACTCCAGCGCCACTGTTGGCCATTCAGGGAACTATAAATAATACCAACTTTCAAAATACATTCCCAGAGCCAATGAAGAGCCAACACGAACTTTTACGTTAGTTTTACTCTATATATATTCGGTCTCTAAAGTTTGACATTAACGCTTTGGAGAATTTCTTTCATTTTCCCTTCAAAATGCCCCAATCTCTTCAACCTATGTTTATATCTATGTATATAGATATATAAACCCACGACCATTTCACATCTACACCAGTCTGGAGACAGGCAAGTGAATTTCACGAAGCTACCTGAAAGTGAGTTAGGAAGTTAAAAAAAACGCAATTAACTGAACTGTTAACCATGCTTTAAACGTATTACGCAATTAGCACGTGTCACGCGATCTTTTACGAGAAATTTAAGGCGGATCCTCGAAAATTTTATCGCCTAGCCAACTGCGCGTCTGCCCGTATAGACGCAATGTAAATTTTCAAGGATAATTAAACATCGGGTAAGCCACCCCTTTAACGGGGGATGTATGTAGGATGGAATAGCCCTTGTCAAATACATTACGCACCAACGACTAAACGGTTTTCGCAGCCTCTATAAAATCCATATATATATATATACACACAACACGCATATACATATATAGAAACATGAACCCATATAAAGACCCATAACGTGTCAAGCAATAAATAGCAGAATAACACAAAGTAAGTACAACGTTATTCAAAAACATTGGAAAATACACTAAAAAGTAGGAAAAGGCAAATAAATTTAATTTGAAATTATGAAAAAAAAATATTTTTCATTTTTCCCACACCCTCCGTTTTCTCTACTGACAAGTACTACTATAGTACAGGCCGAGCTATCGTTCACTCCCACACCATTACGTCAGCGACTAGAGGGTGAAATTCGTGGTCGCTGGTACCGTAAACAGGGCGAAGGGAAGACAGAGAGGATTTTTATCATGTATACTCAGGAAAATGACGAGGCCTTCCTCGTATTTTTTATCAGTAATTCGGGACCGCCCGTGGATTCCCGAATCACTATGGCTGATTCATAGAATCTCAAATCACGCAATGCGCCGTAGGTCTACGTACATCAATCAACCCTCGTGTTCGTAAGACAGCATACCCACAAACCCCCTTCTACGGCCACCTATACCCCTCGTCCTACCCTCTAAGATCCATATACCACAGACACCCTTTCGAACCCCAAACTATAAGTATAATCAGATAACAAGATGACCGTCCAATCGCAGTTCGGTACTCGAAAAAATTAACTTACAATCTTAAAAAATTTTGAAAAAAAACATTTTTCAAAAAAGATCAAATAATTTCTCGGGTAGTACAGAGATAAGTCATGCGTGTAGGGTGGTTTCGTATAACATATACATATGTGTGTAATAAATCCTGAAGTTGCTTCAGGTGTAAAATATTCCGTAAGATGGGCCTACTGAGCTTTAAAATCCGCCTATTCTACTTTTTCACCCAGAAAGGGTTGATGGGCCGGAAAGTATTCAGCGGATGCTGGTTGATGCCTGTACAATGTTACCGTGCTGAAAATGGTAGCCATTTGTAAAAAAAAAAGATGGTTTTTAATTCTTTTTTTGTAAATACGCATTCGCAATCGGCGGTCACGAATGATCGATCGATCTTTCAGGACCCACCCGATATACGCTTACGAGGGCGTGTGCCATGGAGATACATACGAGTGATACAACGACGTCAGAAGACGACGATAACCTCCCCTGCGTCCTACCCGAGCCCAATGATATTTATTGAATTTCCATTCGCATTAACGCGTCATAAATCACGTCGAACGACTGACTGAAATCCTTCCGTCAGTTCATTCTAGAAAAATCCATTCGCGTTACGCTCCTCCCATTCATTCCCTTTTCTGGGTCACGTGATAGATTTGTTACTGAAATGGGAACGATTTGATTGGTGGCGCTATCTGGGAATTATTCGAATGAATTATTTAACTCAAACTCGGGCTTAGTGGTCGGCTACGTCAAAAGTGCTGGAATTACGTAACCGGCTGGTAACGCGTAACGAGACTCTTGGAGAAGCTCGTGAAAACTACGGTGGAAGGAAGGTCGATTAATTTCAGAATATAATTGGATACGAGTGTTACGTCATTTCCGAGAATAAATACCTGGCTTCTATGTAGATTATTATGTCTGAAAAAATATATATATATATATATATATATATGACGGTGGGAGAGAGCTTTTAGCATTTTGAGAAAAAAAATCTGAAGAATCGTTCCTGGGTATAATTATTTTTGAATTTGAATCATTATGACGGTGGGAGAGAGCTTTTAGCATGAGTGTTACGTCATTTCCGAGAATAAATACCTGGCTTCTATGTAGATTATTATGTCTGAAAAAATATATATATATATATATATATATATGACGGTGGGAGAGAGCTTTTAGCATTTTGAGAAAAAAAATCTGAAGAATCGTTCCTGGGTATAATTATTTTTGAATTTGAATCATTTTATTTTTGTGAGATAATATTTTTTGTTTTTCACTAGCGACATCTATGATCTTTTTCATTGACTACCGCGTTCATTTATGTCGTTATAACTATCAGAACAGATACCATAGCTACAGTCGGTTCTCGATAACTTTTTTCACCGTACCTCTGTGCTTCAGTTTGAAATATGCTGGAGAGCACGGAAAAGTATTTGGTATATCTATAAAGGGATGAAAATTCTTGGGATACTATTTCACTATTTTATGATATAGATACTAGGAGGGTAGGGCATATTGAGATAACTTCTGACTTGGATATGCAAACTGTGCCAAACGATAGCTCAGTAATGATATACGTATAGATAAGCGTCTAGGAACGTGATACGAAATGACATGGTATTCTAGAATTGCAAAGATTCATACACGAATAGGTTATATACTATACGTGCAGGCTGACCCGATAAAGCGACCGAGTATTTTGACTGGGGTAATACGTTCTAGTGGGAAAGTAGTAGTAGGGTCGCGTAAGCAGACAGACGATTTAACGATTGAGTCAAGTGGTTATATATGTATATATTTCTTATAAGCTTAAGCGACGACGATGTCCCAACGGGCATCCCTTATAACCCATCACAGAATCCACCCCATGTAAAATTAGATTTGCGAACGCTCGGTGAATCTGCAATTTTGATTCAGTCCTTGAAGGAGTTTCAAATGGGGGAAGAAAAAAAAAGGGGGGAAAAAAAAATTTTTATATACATATATTGATTGAGCCGCAAAATTTCTTGCTCCATTTAGACTCCATTTTTTATTTTTTATGTTCCCTATCTTTTTTCACATTTTAAACAGAGAGGGACGATAAAATGATGATTAATGTATCAAAATGAATAATACGTCCATGCGCGTATGGGTGATAAAGCGTCGCGACGCTGTACCGATCAGAAACGTGGATTAGGATTTGACGTCTAATGGGTGAAAAAGTAGGTCGAGCAGTTGGTACTGCTGCGTCAGGTACGTTAGTGAGAAATTTTTGTAAAAAAAAAAAAACAGTGCTACCACTCTCGTGATAAAATATTCATTGGCTTGGTAATTTTTTAACTTAGAAAAAAAAGGGAATTTTTTTTCTAAGTTAAAATATTGTGGACGATTCTCAAACGGACTGCGACAAGCAGTTGGGATTCTGTCGGAACTCGAATTCTATTGGCTGTGATGGAGCACGTGGGGAAGAGTCGATTTGAATTGGACGTTAAATAAAAAAGAGTGAAGTATGGTATATACCGGGTCATCGAGATGCGAGATTCAATTTCGATCAGAGAGCCTGAGTTTGGAAAGAGTTTAGAAAGGTAGTTGGGACTGAAGGGGAGGGGATTGAAGTACGAAAAAAAAAAAATTGCTTGAGCAAGGAATGAAAATTGTGCTTCAAAAGTTTACATCCCGCATGATGCTGGGATTCGATGTGAATTTTATTTGGCATGAGCCGAATCTGCTTTTTTAAAAAAAAAATTTTTTTTTTCAGTGATCGAACGGAGCTTTCAAGCACACAAACCAAAGCTTCGTTGGAGAAGCAAACAAACGAAGAATATCAGAGAGCAAGTAGTAGTTTACGTATTTAAAAGGTGATGGAGTAAAATTTTCAGCGGTACAAAAAGAAAATTATAAAATTGGAAAAGCAATTAATATACTTACACTAAGTATGTCCCCTTGCTCGCTGGTAGAAATTCTTCGCGTTCCAGGGCATTGCCATCGTCGCCCACTTCGAAACTGACACTGAAGTATTCGCTGCTGGACACCTGTAATGTAAAAGAAAAATTAAAATGAACGTGACACGAAGGCTATTAAATATTTTGAGACCGAGAAATTTGCTAAAAATTTTTTAAAAATTTTATGCATTTCGGTTATAAATAATAACAATAATCCCCTAGTAATTTTCATCGTCACGTCACGTCACATCCACTTGGCAAACGGGATTTTCTTATCATAGCGTACTAAGGGATCTAATGGTGTTCAGAGAATCCCATCAACTTTCAGTTAGTTATTTATCGATAATCTTGAATCAAAGTCAATTTTGATTTATTATCAGTCAAATATACTACGTGGTAAAAATTTGACGTAAAGCATAAAATCATAGAGAGAATTGAAAATATATTATTAAATGGACACCAGATACATAAAAGACACACTTACTGAAGTCATTCGTGAACTTGTGAAAGATTACTAATGACCATCCCCTAATTGTTTGATTACTCAAAATCAGAAATCCAATAAAGAGACACGTAATTACGGGGAATTGAGTAATTTCGACAAGATTGAATTTGACGACCGAGACTACACGTGATTTAGTACCAGTACATATATATTCACCATGAAATATTGATCAAGAAATATACACAGTGTACATAAAATTACCAAAATTACAAGAACGAGTAAAAATAGCGCTAAAAAATAAGAATTGACAATATAAAATTTAATTAATAATAAAAAACTTTTCAGGTTTTTATCTACATCAAGATTGTATGTATAGTATATATATATATATATATATATATATATATATATATAGCTACCAGCACGTATCATACAAAAGGGACTCGTAAAGAAGCCAATCGTAAAATCAACCACGTTAATCGTTTCCTCTATACTTGAGAAAGTCACGTAAAGGCAGTTACGAATTATATAGGAGCACCCGTTATAAGCGATTGGAGTATTTGGTACCGAGTGAAGTAATAAAATAATACAAATGGCAACGATCGGCAGCCGCATTGTTTACCAATAAAAAGAACGAAGAAAAGAAATGAAATTTCAGAGGCAAAGAAAAGAAGGCCAGATCCTATATAGAATACTCGTAAATTGAACCCAAGAATAATAAAAGAAGAGATCGCACGCTTGAAAATGCGCCATTAACGACCAAACGAATGCGTACCAACCTCTACTATCAATAAAACTAGATATCGTATCATAGTCCATATACAATAATACGTATAAACTGTATAATGAAAATTTAAATATTATTTCATTTCAAATATCTCGTACGAAATGCAACTCTCAGATTCTGCACTTTGTAAGGTGCATATAAATGCATATAGTTCACCTCACGTTACTTCCAGCCCATGTGATGAAAAATATAATAAGAATGCACCTTTCTGTCGTACATGACAGTTTGGAAACGTATATGATATAAATATATGCTATTCACACGTTAAATCGTGGGTAAACATATTTTCCAGATTTTTCAACGTCAAGAATTTTCTGATATAAGTTTCACGTGTGCATGTGCTTTGTACTTCAGATCATTTCATTGCATTACTTTGATTCCCAATGGCATATACGCTATGGTGGAATTCATACATATGGATGGTGTATAAATGGACGGTATATGGTTTATAAGACAGACACAGAAAAAGTTCGCTGAAGGTTGATAAATGGTAGGTAAATGGTGGATGGGAGATCATATATACTCTTATATACTGGATATATATATATATATATATATATATATATATATAGGATGGTTAAAGGGATAGATGGAAACCTGCTGGAAGATATAGAACGTCCATTGAGGCGGCTGGAACAGCGGTGCTTCTCTGTTTGCATAATATTGATTCGGCTTTCCGTTACAGCGCAGCTATCCGTCTCTATGGTTATAAAGGATCTGCTAGAACCAATCAACAAAAGGATAAGGTCCTTAGGATAGAGAGAGAGAGAGAGAGAGAAAGAGGGGGAATGACAGTGATTTAATGAAGAAAAAATATGTAGGAAAAATGTACCGAAAGAAAGTACCCTAGTGAATCATTTTATATTAGAGTATCAACGTATTTGGACTACGGGCAGGATTTTCCCAGAGATAATCCTGAACGAGTATAACATTTTCAGCGTCTAGGGACATTTAAGCTTCTTTCTCTGCAGTTATTACGAAGGTTATTTGAAACGTGTCACTGAGTACAGTGCCGAGCTTTATACCATCACGGGTCATTTACATGAGAACGAAGAGACGACGGGCTATTCAAATGAGTTGTAGTCGCCATGAAAATTCTTTTGTACACATTTACGTAACTGATTACGATTAGCTGGTTGGTACCACTGGTTAATAATATTTTTCTAACATTTCATCCTCTGGTCGCCACTGCTATTATCGTGCCTATCGGTACTTGAACTGTCGCAATTTTTTGACTAACCATTAATCTTTCTAGAATCTAGGGACTTTTTACTATTCAACTTTTTTCTTTCTTCGCTCTTCTTCCACACTTTGGCCAGGAGTCGGAGGCTTCCTTAAGGTATCCCCTAGGGCGATATTGGCCATCGATTTCTTCTACCTCCGTCAGATGGAAATAACGTAGGAGGGCCGTCGAGCAGCGTGAATGATCGACGGAATATGCACCGGGCTTTACGAAAGTTATTGGTGTCATTAACATTTTCGTACGTAAGGGATGAATGAGTGGCAATCCCCTTTTTTTCCTTTCTTCCTTCAGAGCATCCACCTACTGATCTTGCTCCTGGAAAAATATACCTGGGCCTGAATAATTCTTGGGAATTTCTTTTTATTATCTTCACTCGTCCCGGCCTCGCTTTCTCCTCGTTCACTCGTTTACCACTTTACAGCTTTTTTTTACCTCCATCCTGGTACTTTTTTACGGCTCTAGCTTCCAGTGCAGCGCCAGTGCCATCTTCTTGCGCAACCTTATTCCTTCAGGATATCCGTAAAATCCAACGACGTAACCTTTAGTAGCTTCCATAAAATTTCTTTATAATACAGTACACTTGATAGCTCGTTAATTATCGCAGCAGTATCGTGTAGTGATAATAATTGTGTGTGACGTCACGCGGAGCAAAAGAAATTTTTATCCTCGGATACTCAGAAAATAGTGAAAGTAACTAGGAAATTGGTCCTGTCCAGTTCTCTGCTTATCTTCTACGAATCATTTTTTTTTGTCAGGTTGCTACCACTCCGAATGTATCCCAGTGACAGCCTTTTACTTATCATCTATTTTCACCCTACAGCGATTCCTTTGAAAGGGCGACTATAGCAGGAGACGACTGTGGAACGTGTTATCAGGTCGCCCTTTGAACCCACCCCTGTCGCCTCTGAGGAATTCCCAGAATTACGGATCAATGAATTTTTTTTCCTTTTCGTCGTTTGCTCTGCTTCTTCTTTTTCTTCAATTTTTCAACAATTTTATTTATTCCCAAGGTCCCAGCACACGTGGTCACTTGATAAGGCTAATACGGGTTGAAGAGAGACACTCTTTTTCATGGATGCCAAAAATTGCAGTAAATCATTGCATAAACAAGGATTGGAGAAATCGCATGTAGTGATAATGTGGAGCGATAGAATTTACATGAATTATGGAAATGAAAAAAAAAAACCACGGCATTTCAGTCCATTCAGGTTCCTCATTCCGATGCATATACTATTGCAAATGCACTTTACCGCAGTTGCATTGCTCCCGGTGGGTTCAAACGCTTGGGAAATATCCTGGTGGGATATTTCAACAATTTCGTTGATCTGGCTGCGAGTGTTATGCGGGTAAATGCAGAATGCACTTTTGAAACCAGGATGGAAACTGTTGCAGCAGCTGCACTCGAAGGATGCACTCAACGATGGAAAAGTGTCTGCGCGCAGTCGTCGACAAAGTGGACGTGGAGTTCGCGCGTAAAAAAAAGTGTATGAAACTCGAAAGGTAAAATTTGAAAAATTGCACATTGAAAAAAAAAGGCGTCAACTCACTTGGGAACGAGAAAGCTTGTGTCTGGTGCGGTTGGGGTGAACTCCGTCTGACAATGAGGACGAGGGTGCATTTGGTACCAGAAGTCGAGGACTGCATTCTGTTCCAGTATGGGGATGCTGATGGGGATGATGTTGATGATGATGATGATGGGGTGGCTGCTGAGACGAAGGTCCACCTCTTAGATGATGTTCACCAGTGTCCAGCATACTCGTGCCCAGGGCGTCCAATTGGGTCAGAGACCTGGAACGCACCTGAAATAAAAAAAAAAAGAAATTTATTTATTTATTTAAAAAAGTGCCTCGCAAGAAAATATATTTTCGTTAAATCGCTAACTGAATTGTTTTCATCGTACAGGAAAATAAATGCAATCGTGCAATTGCGCATGGTCCATTTAATTTTATTCGATATGAACGTTTTTCCCTGCAAGTGCAGTTTATTTGACAAGTAAATCATGGTCGCTGGTTGGAAATTGGAGGAAAAATATTAATCGTTCCTTGTCTCGTTTATATGACTGTAAAACATTCGGGATTTATTTGAAATCGCACGGGAAATGGCGAACGAAATTTTTTCAATTATTTTAATATATTCTAGGGGTTGTTTTCTTGTATCCCATATGGGACAAGTCGTTTTAACTCTGTGTACGTAGGATACTGAAACATGCAGTATCTTGTGGAAATTAATAAAGGGTGGGTATGAAATTATTCCAAGGGATGGTCAATCTTAATCCACATGTATCCATATACAGAGTGTACATAAATCCAATTTCCAACCCCTAAAGCGCAACCGCGCAATTTGAAGAAACTTGGTATATATAGGAATATCAAGACAATAGATTGCAACTGACGCTGTGAACCTCCAGGAATTAATTTAATTCGCGTTAAATTGATTTCCCAAAATTTTCGACGGCGCCTTGGGGAATTCTCAAAATTGTCTTTACGCCCGTAATACCATACGGGAGATATCTGACTGCAATAAACTGGATACTACAAAAATCGAGTGGTAACTTATACAATTTCTGGAAATTGTCTAAATCTTTTTTTTTATAATTAATAAACAATTTATAAAACTGCAAAAAAATTTCAAACACTGATCCATCAAGTTGTACAAAAGTACCCTTACGATTAAGACTGATAAATTTTCTATGAGATTTTACAAAAAAAATAACACCACCCCTTTGGAGATTCGTGAATCGAATTTTTATTTAAAAAAATTAATATAAAAAAAAATAAAATGCATCAACTTGGTGAATATTAAAAATATATGTAAAGATATATTGATAAATATACTGCAATGAGATACGATATTGACGTCATATATATTAAAATTGGGTTAATTAATAAAGAACGTTGGATATATTAAAATTTTCATATAAAACGCACGAGAATTTAATATTTGTTGGTAAACGGTGAGAGGTGGGTGGGTGGAGGGGGGGGAGCGTAGGTGAACGAAGTTTCAAAGATAGGAGGGCTGCAGTATTAATTTTCTGTATTTTCCTATTAAAAAAAAGAAATACCGTACAGCTAACCAATATGAATTCTCCGCATATCTGATAAAAGCATAAAAGAGAAGTTTGAGAGCAGAGATTAATCTTGCAATGGAATTTACGCAATTTAACGTTAAAACAGGTAATAACTGGGTGGTCGAGGGGGTAAAAGTTAGTAAAAAATAAAAACAAACGTTCCTACGGATAAAAATATATACAGTATAATATACATGTATATATACATCCACGATATTACGTATATTCACGTAACATCTTATCATAAACGTAAATCGTATCTCGGCAATGTACCGAGTATATTAATATAAAAGGATTTCATCCCAACTTGAGAGAAATCTACCCCCTCTGTATAGCGGCATTCATGCATATCGGCTTTCAGCGATACACAAAAAAAAATCCAGCATCCCGAGATCCATATCCGAAATTGTCAATTGACAAAAAGCATCTCTTCAAAAAAAAAAAAAAATGTGCGAATTGGGTCGCAGATCTAAGGGAGGCTGTGTCGATCGAAAAGCTGCCAAATGAAGAGATTCGAAGAACTCAGATTTCTCTCGTGTTTTGATATAGAAAATATGAGAAGAAAAAAAAAAGAAAAAGGTGTATTTTCCGTGAACGATGTATTAAAGAGGGAAAAGAATACGGATAAGTAAATAAATGTAGAAAAAACATCCGCTAGCTTCGCCATCGATGCCACCCCTATTGAAATATTTATTAAAAATTTGTTTTTCAAAGAATTTAGAACAAACTGACTACGTCTGTACGTAGCGTGGATACAGAGTTTGCCTGTACAGTTTGCCTGCCATTAGGGGTTGATTCGTGGTGCAGGATCTACCTTTTGGGGGTTGAATGGACATGCACGAGGAGTGTTAAGCAATCTGAATTGAATCTACCGAGGGTCATACAGTCGAAAATTGTATAAAGAAAGAAGCTGCTTTCTGGATTGAAAGGGTTGAAATAGCTCGAGAGCCCTTATCAAAGTTTAATTAGTGTAAACAACCCCTGTCGACCCTTGCTAGAGTAATGGCGAAGCTCTCTATTCCCAGGACCTTGAATAATATCTGTTACAGATGTCACCCCGCGATATAACCAAGCTTAAAATTTTACGTACGGCCCTGTATATACATACCGAGCACTTTGTGAGATATAAAACCCTTAAAAACTACCCCCTTATAAACGTGACATTTACTGTTCATTAAGGAACAGTTTATTCCGAGAACTGTTATATTCTCCTGCATTATTAATTTTTTTTAATTTTACACCCTGACGAAGTTAATATTATTTCTGGCGTAATTCATCCCCTTTTATCTCGTTCGATTGAAAGGGTTGAAATAGCTCGAGAGCCCTTATCAAAGTTTAATTAGTGTAAACAACCCCTGTCGACCCTTGCTAGAGTAATGGCGAAGCTCTCTATTCCCAGGACCTTGAATAATATCTGTTACAGATGTCACCCCGCGATATAACCAAGCTTAAAATTTTACGTACGGCCCTGTATATACATACCGAGCACTTTGTGAGATATAAAACCCTTAAAAACTACCCCCTTATAAACGTGACATTTACTGTTCATTAAGGAACAGTTTATTCCGAGAACTGTTATATTCTCCTGCATTATTAATTTTTTTTAATTTTACACCCTGACGAAGTTAATATTATTTCTGGCGTAATTCATCCCCTTTTATCTCGTTCAACCCCTTTTTTATCACACGGTCGATATAACTGCAGTCGCGAGTTCGGTTATAAAATTATCAATGGTTTTGAGAATTTTTCTAAAATTTTCAAAAAGCTTGCAAGTCGATGGTTCTGAAAATAATTTTTTTTTTGTATAAAAAAAAATTTTCTTGTGCTCTTCTCAAATATCATGATTTTATTTTTTTCGTTTTATGCCTTTTAACGTAATTCATTTTTATATATACATCCCATTTGAAGATGAAAGGTAAGTAAGTTCGTATAAATATTTAAAAAAGTAAGTTCGCGTTAATTAAACAAGAACAGCTCTTGTTTTTCTTTAATTAATAAATAATTTTACTTATAATTAATAGCGAGTGGGTGAATATTAATTATCGACATAATGGCCACGTCAGTCACAATTAAGTTCCCACCTTGAAAGCAATCCCTGCGGTTGACAGTCGACCGTCGAAAAATCATTATTTTGCATTTCGCGGAAAAAGCTTGTTTTTTCGTTTTTAACGAAAGCCCGCATAAACCACAAGCAGCATTGTTAACCTCGTCAATTAGCGTCAGCTTAATGTAAACATTGCGACGCCAGGCGTCGGAAGATCCTTTTGCCCTCAATAGCGCTCGTCCTACAATAATCCAGACGGTCTAGGGTCGCCATTAGATATGATAAAAAAGAGAGAAAAAAAAAAGAAAAAATAAAACCACCCCTAAAATTGGGACAGGGTTATTTGACGACACCCCAATTTATTTATTCAACGAATACCACCCACTTAACGAGACAACTATGAAAATGTCAATTTAACGTACAGGGGTGGATAAGACTATCGAAAATGGCATCTTCATATATTTTTGTTTTTCCATCCTCACTCACCCGTCAAATTAACGCGGCGTCGCGACGCCTTTCGGAAAATACGATAAATTCTTATTTAACGTCTATCGATCGGACTTTGACTCTTCGCGTACCAGCGAACATGTTTCCGGAAGGGGTAGCTTTGGATGCTGCTTAATATCTCAAATTTCTAAGGGTTGAAGTCTCCCGTTCCTTAAGAGTCATGTAGGACGCGAATACTGTCGAATCCACTTTGCGTTATGGAGAATCCAGATGATACATTTTTTGGTAGGCACATCCGAAGTCTAGTTCAAGGGTGACTACAACCCCTATAATGGTAATTCTCGAAGGTTATACCGAGTCTGGTTGGTATCGTTCCTTTTTCTGTTTTTGAAATTTTTTTTTCTGTTGAATAAGCAATAGCTGGTATATTACATTTTTTCTCTTTTTTTTTCACTTTGCCTACTTCTATTCTCCTTCCATTTTTTTTTGGCTAAGAAAAACACATTTTATCTCTATTCCGCGCATCAGGGGATAACGGTATCCATCCTCGTAACGTAACGTACGTGTCCCAGCATCTAAACAGCTGTAGAAATCAATTTATCTCTATTTACAGGAAATCCTGCGAGAACTTGGAGGATTTTACAAATGCTGCAAGGAAGTAGAGGGTAGTAGGTTCGTATACGTTTAGGGGTTGCGCCATGTCTGCGGCAACTAAAACCAATGGAAAATACAAGGAAAATCCAGGGATTGTATTGCGGACCAAGTGATTTTATTTTATTTTATTTCTCTTATACTTAGTGGTTTCTGTATCTTCGTCTCTCACTTTTTTATTTCTTACACTATAACCGTAACCGGCTTATTGGTCTCGTAAAGGATTTTTACGATAATTCCAAAATTCATTCATTCACCTCTATAACTTTTGGGACGAGTTTAGAAAGAAAATGGAGAAATCCTGAAGTCCGTTCGATAAATATTTTTTTTACGAATTTTCAGTAGTATGTAAAAATCTTTGAAAGCACCATATCATAATATTATTTGCGTGGATTAAAGATAAGACCGTATAATGGCAATATATTGAATTACAATTAAAATCAAAGTTTGGGTAATTTTCGAAAATTTCGTTAACCCGCAAAATACATTTTTCTTCATTTTCTTAATTCTTTATAAATATTCAAAAATCTATCCTCGTCAAAATTTAATTTTTTTTTTATTTCCCCATTACCTTCGTTAACGTCCCGTAT